ACATACACAATGACCTGAAGGATATGTGTGTTCATTCAAAGAAAGGTTTTCCTATGAATTAATTAGAGAAGAGTCCATTTTTATGGGCATTATGTTTTTCCTATGGTTGAAAGATAGTGAGAGGGAGAACTCTCAACATGCCATTAGGTCGTAAAGTGTATCTGGTCTAGCAAAGGTGTCGTGGTTGCCATGGTGACCAGGGGCCTGGTGTCGTTCGCAGACATCCTGGCACCCAGTATGTTTATTGGGTGAGGGGTCTGTGACTATTTGTTAATCTAATGAATAATTGATTTGTTAAATCTAATGAAAAACGGTGTGTCTGATTGGTCCATACGCTACATTATGGATTATGGACTTGTATTTTGGCCAGAATTGGAAAAAGTTAAAATGCCTTATTTAATGTATGGATTTGTTTCTTATAAACATTCAGCTTTTCACTTCACAAGTCAATAATTGATGGACTGGTATCGTGTTGGTTACTTGTGGATTATTGTGATGTTTTTATCAACACCCATTCACTGCAGAGGATCCATTGGTGTCTCTTTGTTCTTACATGATAATTTCAAATGAAAATTTAATATACATTTAACTTAATGTAGGAGGATAGTGTATAGTCAGTGGGTCATTGCAAAATAAATCCCTACAGGGTGTTAAAAAAAAAAAACCAACTTATTTTGGAACCTGCTGACTATACATTATCCCTCATTTCGCCACCCTCATAATCACACATACTCACATTTGTACCTTTAACATAAAGTATAGCTTTAGAAGAATTGGAGTGCATTTCTCCTTTGGGAATCTATTACATAATACTGTATTCACTTATATAAGAGAACAGAACAGCATGAGCATAACTTGCTAACATTACAGACACAGACAGCAGTACCTTCACACACTTTCATATAAATTATCAAACACAGTCTCACAATAAACAAGACAATAAAAATAACATCTGTAGCCTGCTCTTAATGATTTTATTGTAAAATGGACACACAGAACTCAAAACTTCTTGTGTTTTTTGTTTTTTATTTTGTACACTGACAATAGTATCAGCACATAATGTTCAAGTCAGAGGTTCAGCCCTTGTTTCTAAATGCACTGTTTTGTTCTTCATTTCTGTGAGTGATGATACTGCTTTAAAATGAACACTCTATGGATTTCCGGTGTGTGTTTCTAAGATTAATTATGAGTGTCTGTGTTACCTATTACGCATAGGTAATAAATGTTTTACTGAACTGTCATAAATTATCCCACAACTTTGTTTATCTTCATCCTGGCCCTGTAATAAGCATCATTAATTTAAAGGAATATTCCACCCAAAAATGAAAATCTGCTCCCTCTCAGCCAGGTCATTCAGGATGTTTATGAGTTTGTTTTGTCATTGGAACAGATTTGGAGAAATGTAGCATTACACCACTTCCTCACCAATGGATCCTCTGCAGTGAATGGGTGCCGTCAGAATGAGAGACCAAACAGCTGATAAAAACATCACAATAATCCACAAATAATCTACACTACTCCAATCCATCAATTATTGACTTGTGAAGCAAAAAGCTGTGTTTGTAACAAAACATAATCCATCATTAAGATGTTTCAAACCATTGCTTTCGAGTCCTCTATCCAAAATAGCTTTTTCCAGTGAAAAAAATCGATAACACTTTAGTATAGGGACCAATTCTCACTTTAAAGGAGTTGCTTATTAGCATGCCTATTATTAACATATTGGCTGTTTATTAGCACATATTCTGCATGACCATATTCTACATCCCTAATCCTACCCAACACCTAAACTTAACAACTACCTTCAAGCACTGTTTATCAAAAACAGTCCAAAACCATTTTAAACAAACATGCTGCTGGATTTTGATGTGTGAGAAAAACAGGGGTTGGACTTTTTCTGTCACAATCTCTAACTGGAGTGCCTGTGAGCTTCGCTAGTGGGCACTCCATTCCAGACTCTTACCACTTTACCCCGGACTCCATTTCCCATAATCCTTTGCCCGGACTCATCAGCACACACCAATTGCAGCCACCTGTCTCTCATCACCTCATCAGTCACACACTATAAGAATGGCACACACACATTCTTTCACCGCTGATGTTCAAAGTTTCCTAGTTTCCTTGCCTTTGTGTTTTTGACCCTCGACTGTTTCCTTGTTTTTTATTGTTTGCTGCCTGCCCTGACCATTGCCTGTGTATTGCATTACTCTTTTGCCCTGCCTTGGATATTACTGTTTTGCTGGTGTTTGACCCTGCCTGTCTGACTACGCTCTAAATAAAGCTGCATTTGGATTCTCAAATTTACATTTTCACTGGAAGAAGTGTTATTATGGATTATGGACTATTGGTATTTGTCCAAAAGCAATGGTTTAAAGTTGCCTTAAACAATGCCTTAATGATAAATGTGTTTCTTACAAACACAGCTCTTTGGTTTCATTACTTATGGATTATTGTGATGTTTTATGAGCTGTTTGAACTCTCATTCTGACGGCACCCATTCACTGCAGAGGAACCGTTAGTGAGCAAGTGATGTAATGCTAAATTTCTCCAAATTTGTTCTGATGAAGAAACAAATCTCATCTACATCCTAGATTGCCTGAGGGTGAGTAGTTTTTCCACAAATTTTCATTTTTGTGTGAACTATACCTTTAAGTCCACCGCAACCACAAAGTCACCACTATTTTGTCCATCTGTGAATATTTGAGGTGACTATAAATTAAACTATTAAAAAAAAACATTTTTGACAACATTTTGAATAGTGTATCATGTTGGGTAATTTATTCATGCAGTTATGTTGAAATACAATATATGATCATTGATAACTGAAGTTGCTGTATATTATTCAACATCATTATTTATTATTGTATACTTAAAATAGCTTATTAATATAAATTGCAAAAGAACAAATATTTATAGCTATATGCACAGTATGTTCATATGAGAATAATTATGTGTAAGACATCTAAATATAGACATTAATGGATTAATTTCTGCTCCACTTAATGTAGTGAAATAGAGCTTGCGCTCCTCTGATTTAGTCGGAGTAATTTTTTCATTGTTTTGATTTGTTGTACTTTATAGGTTTTTGTTCAGTGTTTAACACTGATTTCACAGTGACCCCAGGAGACAGATAAACTCCTCAAATCTGATAGATGGGTGTTTCTTCAACTATGGGCAAAGTTTGGCCCTGTGGACTTGTAGAAAATAAATTTTTCAAACTCACTATTTTATTTGAGTCATTTTGTCTAAAATAACAAATGTCATTTCCACCACATTTACACAAAATTGTGTATTTTGCTTGATAACATTCTATGGTGGAAATGACAGTGATGGAAACATTTTTGGAATAATATGGCAGACTCCTTTGTCTTACTAAGGCTAATTTCATTCCAGGATTTTAAGTATCCTAAAAACACAGAATTGAACTTGAATGTTTTGACTAAATGATATCTTAATTGGAAATGACGTGCAATAAAAAAATATTTTGTTCACAAGTGACATTTACAATATCTTGAATTTTCTTGGACACATCACAATCACCTCATATTTCATCTCAAGCTCTCCACTGACACTGCTGTCTCCTTGGTAACCAAGTACAGTTACTTAAAAAGAAATCTGTAAGGAGCAACATTATTAATTGTTGTGGAAATGATACTGTGCTATATTGTTGTAATTTGTGTAAAAAATTATTAAATAGTTTACACAATAAGCATTTAAATGGTTTGTTAATTTCACTCTCTGTTAACATTATTAATGTAATATTTTTATGAGATTTTCATATTTTAAGATTCAAAGTCTGAATCTGGGATGAGGGTAAACAATAAAACCCTATACAGTACATAAAAAGCATTTTGTAGGAACATAAATGATGAAGATGCTACAACACTTCCAAGACCTTCATATAATTTTAATGCATTCTCTCTTGTTCCCCCTCTCAAAATCTATAGGTTATTATACTTGTGTGGAAGTCATCTTCACTCTCAGGAGGCAGGTGGGCTTTTATATGATGGGTGTTTATGCTCCCACCCTGCTCCTTGTCGTCATATCATGGCTGTCCTTCTGGATCAACCCTGATGCCAGTGCAGCTCGAGTCCCTTTAGGTGAGTCAGCCTTCAAATGAAGCTTGTCAGTTAAAACAAAAGAACACCACATACAGTAGCTGTTATTGGAATTGCAGTGTTGTGTTTGATGACCCTTATCAGAGTTGCTACAGCTCAGTCTTTCTTGTATCGCCCATTTAATGATATAAGTCATAGGATTTTATGTGACAAAGGTGTTAAAATCTGCAGACTTTCGTAATTGCAATTTCTAATAATTAACAAATAATGTTTCTAATACACTACCATTTTTTATATTTTTGAAAAAATGTCTCTTATACTCACCAAAGCTGCATTTATTTGATCAAAAATAGAGCAAAAAAGTAATATTGTGAAATCTTATTGCAATATAAAACACCCGTTTAAACATTTCTTTGATGGCAAAGCTGAAATTTCAGCAGCCAATTCTTCAGTCTTCTGTATCACATGATTTTTCAGAAATGCTGTCCTTCTGGATCAACCCTGATGCCAGTGCAGCTCGAGTCCCTTTAGGTGAGTCAGCCTTCAAATGAAGCTTGTCAGTTAAAACAAAAGAACACCACATACAGTAGCTGTTATTGGAATTGCAGTGTTGTGTTTGATGACCCTTATCAGAGTTGCTACAGCTCAGTCTTTCTTGTATCGCCCATTTAATGATATAAGTCATAGGATTTTATGTGACAAAGGTGTTAAAATCTGCAGACTTTCGTAATTGCAATTTCTAATAATTAACAAATAATGTAATAAATACACTACCATTTTTTATATTTTTGAAAAAATGTCTCTTATACTCACCAAAGCTGCATTTATTTGATCAAAAATAGAGCAAAAAAGTAATATTGTGAAATCTTATTGCAATATAAAACACCCGTTTAAACTTATTTCTTTGATGGCAAAGCTGAAATTTCAGCAGCCTTCAGTCTTCTGTATCACATGATTTTTCAGAAATCATTCTAATATGCTGATTTGGTGCTCAAGAAACATTTCTTTTTATTATCAATGTTGAAAATAGTTGTGCTGCATAATATGTTTGTCGAAACGGTGATAACATGTTTTTCAGGATTCTTTGATAAATCAAAAGTTCAAAAGAACATTTATTTGAAATAGATTTTTTGTAACAATTTCAAAAAGTAACAACTGTCACTTTTTTAGTAATTTAACACATCCTTGCAGAATATATTAATTATTTAATATTCATTTCTTAAAAAAAAAATATTGCTGAATGGTAATGTATATAAATTTCTAATAAATGACAACTAATAATTTATAATAGTCATAATAATAAAATATTTGTTCAGAATGAAAAAAAAAATACAAATTAAATAATAACAATAATAATAATAATAAAAAATGTGCAGATTAGTATCTGAGCCCCTAGATGTATATCCTATAGTCACCTCTGGTTTACAGCATCAACTAGTAACTTCTAGAGGGGCAACATAAAAAAATAACAGCAAGTCACCCAGTCCTGAACTTCTCTCTTCTTTTTCAGTCTCTCTAATTTATCCATAATCGTCCCCAGAAGAAGAAACACCTTTATAAAAGCCTTTCTATATATATTCTTATATAATTTTACATTAAAATGGCTTGAATATAATGTACTGAAATTAAAATCTGTCCTATTTTTGATGAAGCCTTTGATAATTATTTAAAAATGAAATCGTTTTAGGATTATTTATTTATAAACATTTCTAAATTAAATATATATGAAACATCTGGACACACAAAAGGGTAAAAATGTTATAGAAAGAGAGATATCTTTCCACTTAAACTGGGAAATTCATCCGTCAATCATTCCCATGATTACCCAAAATCCAACCCATTTTTCCTCTCATCTCTCCATATTCCTCCTCTCATAGGATCCACCTCTCCTTCATTCCTTTCTCTCATTTGTTCATCTCTCCATTCCAGGGATGGCTGTTACTCCCAGGTCAGTTTTAACATTAAAGCATCATAGTTAATTTTATATCTTGTGGTAAAGTGAGAAGAAACTCAAGACATCTGCTTAAGATCAGGGCACAGTATAGTTATTAATGAAGTTACAATATGCAACTACATGAGGAAGTCTTCTTTCTTTCTGTCCTGTCTGTCTCTCGTTAGGTATTCTGTCTGTTCTGTCACTGTCATCCGAGTCTATGTCTCTAGCATCTGAGCTTCCTAAGGTCTCCTATGTGAAAGCCATTGATATCTGGATGATTGCCTGTTTGCTGTATGGTTTTGCCTCTCTTGTGGAGTACGCTATGGTTCAGGTGTGTATGCACATGTCTGCTGTTGTCTTGTATTGAAACATTTACATTTCCTTGACTCAGGACATTGAAGAACTACAGATTTAGCTGCTTCAGCACTCTGTACGGGTGTTTCACACTTTTAGAAAATAAACTTACTTAAAATACAATCTCAGTTTATTTTTCTACTAACAATATCCAAAAGTGGAAAAACACACAAGATAACTCAGTTATTTTTGTCATTTTCCTTAATATAAACATTTTCACCACAGTGAAAATTTGATTTACATTTCAGCTACATTTAAAATTATATTTTTAATAACATTCTGTAGTGACACTGAATTTTGGAGTAAAATGGCAGATTCCTGTCTTGCCGAGGTGTAATTCATAGGTATAGCATTTTATGTATCCTAAAAACACATATAATTAAATGCTATTTTAATACTTTTTGCATAATTTTCAGCTTTAATTAATAAAAATAAAATAAAAAATATGAATAAACACAATAATAACCACAAAAAAGATTTTAATATAGTTCATGAAACTGTGGGCTTTTAATGATTATCAAACAGTTTGCCACAGTTTGTAATAAATATCTGCTTATGTAGCAGTATACTACTGATGTGTTCTCACTCGAGTCTTATATCTCCATGTGTTTTGGGCCATATTATAAGGATTTCTAACCGGTGTTTGACTTTGAATTTTAAAACTTTATCCCAGAACCCAACATATGTTATATAACTATTCCTTAAATAGGAGGAGAAAAAGTTGACACGTAAATGCACTCTTTCTGAGAGGAGAAAATAGATCTTTAATCAAAGCCTGAAAACAGAACGTCTCTGGTTACTTGTGTAACCATGTTCTCTGAGTAGGGAACGAGACACTGCGTAGCTATGACGCAATGGGAACGCCCTCTGGGTGTGCCGATTGTCTGAAGCCTGTATAGAATCACAGCAATTCATTGGCTGATGGCGCGGGCCATATATACCTAGACGCTCTTACGTCGCCATCCTTATACTGGCGAACGTGCCATCTGCTCCTCAGATTTCTTTGCCGAAAAAGGCCTTATGTCGGCAGTGCAAGGAGCTTGGCAGCAGACGTAGCATCTTGTTCCCTACTCAGAGAACATGGGTTACACAAGTAACCCGAGACGTTTTCTTTCATAGATTCACTCGACACTGCGTAGCTATGACGCAATGGGAATGATATACCGAAAATGCCAAGCTAAAGCGCTGCCGTATCTGGCCTGATGATGAACCAGATAGTATCCACAGCTGGTTCAAGCGGACAAGACCCGAGAACCAGGAGCCGTGTCAAGATCCAAATTATAGAACTTGATGAAAGTGTGTGGAGAGGACCATCCTGCCGCTACACAAACGGATTACATAATCTGAAAATATTTGTTTTCTGTTTGAATTGGTTCATTTAAAAGTTTCACTCTCTATGGATATATTTTTCATGTCTGTAATAAGGCAAGCATACACGGATTTAATTATTTTACAAAAGCGCAGCCGTTAACGATTTGTCCGTCACGGACTGCGTGATTTCGCCACTTCGTGTGGATTTTTTTTTTCTGCGATTAAGCGACTAATGAAATTTTTTGACCGACCAAGCCTCTTCTCGTCGACTAACGGTTAGTTGACTATTAGGGGGCAGCCCTAATATATATATATATATATATATATATATATAGTGGGTAAAATAAGTATTGAACATGTCACCATTTTTCTCAGTAAATATATTTCTAAAGGTGCTGTTGACTTGAAATTTTCACCAAATGTCGGTAACAACCCAAGTAATCCATACATACAAAGAAAACAAAACCAATAAGTTCAGAAATTAAGTTATGTTTAATAAAATGGAATAAAGAGCCAGTTGTTTGCGTTTCATCCACCAAAGGAACGGCCTCATATGAAGCAGCCCCAGGGGCAGCATAGGGGAGGCTGCGGCCATGAGGCCCAAGAGCCTGCGACAAGTGCTCAAAGAAACATGATGGCCTAGCTTGAAGCACGCCAAGCACGCGTTGAGGCTGGAAATCCGAGCAGGAGCCAGACGGGCATGCATCTGAACGGAATCCAAGTGAACCCCCAAGAAAACAGTCTTTTGAGAGGGGGTGAGAACACTCTTTTTGGCATTCATTCGGAGGCTAAGAAACAGAATGTGGCGAAGGAGAAATTAGTGAAAATGTGGTAACTCACTAATTCCCTGGAGTGGGCTAAAATGAACCAATCGTCCAGGTAATTGAGTATACGGATGCCCTGGAGCCTCAATGGGGCCAGAGCAGCATCCATGCACTTTGTGAATGTCCTTGGTGCCAAGGCCAGGCCAAAGGGAAGAACCTTGTACTGGTAAGCCTTTCACCCAAAGGCGAACCTGAGGAACTTGCTGTGTTGCCGAACGACCTGAATATGAAAATAGGCATCCTTTAGGCCGACTGTGACAAATCAGTCTCCCGGCACGAGGCTGTGACAAAACTGAAGTGTGTAACCGAACTGAACTGTGCGGAGAACCCAAGGCGATACCCCTGGTAGACGCTTCCATTCGTGAAAGAATTGTGATAGAGGAAGCAGAGTGTTGCAGTCTAGAGGACATACCTGTGTGCTGAGATGGTCCGGAGGGGATAACATCATCCACCACGAAGGAGAGCCCCTGGCGTTCTGATGCCTGATGAGGAAGCCCACAGGGACCGATGTGAGGGCCTGATCTGTGACTGGTACAGGGTCTGCTGTCTCCTACCACATGAGCAGCAGGTGACAAAGGAACAGGTGGTAAGGGGGAAAAGCCTAATGCATCTCCCATCCCTCACGTCAAAAGAGAGTGAAGAATTGCTGCACACCGAAACGCGCTGGGCGGCGGATGTGAAAGAACCGAATGAAGAGAGCATGTCAGAAGTGGGCAGAGACATATGAACGGTCTGCCCCCCTGAAATTTGTCAACCTCAAACAGCCTTGCCATGTAGGACTTCCCAATAAGGGGGCAGGAGTTCCAGGAAGGAGCCGAAGACGGCGAGGGGTGTCGTATCTTCGATTGCCGTAATGGCAATATCCACCTTATTCCTAAATGCAGAAGTAAGCCTATGGGCGAGACTTCAGTTTCATTGCTGCTATAGGGAAATGACGAGAAGAATAACAACGTGCAGTAATCGGAAAATCTGTTTGCACAACAAACCAGTGTGTTCATAATTAAGATAATACACGAAAATAATATAGTAAGACACACCAATTTGCAATATCAAGCAGCAAAACGAGCAGTTTTGTATAGCTAAAAATAGCTGGAAGCAAATGAGACCGGAAGCAAGACCCATAAAATTTACAAATACAACCATTTTACGGGAAGAATAAGGTGGATAGCCCTGCTCCACAGAAACCACTAGGTTGGTGAAGTCAGCGGCTGCTGCATTAGTGAGGCGGGCGGAAAATGGCTGCTTCCAGAATCTGGAGATCTCATGATGCAGATCACTGAAAAAGGGCAGCTTTCTCCACGCAGGCCTCGAATTTAGGCTGCTCAGGAACCGCTCGTCGAGCTTAGATGACTGGGATTCGCAAGGCTCGTTGGGCCAAACAATAGAGAGCTTCTCTGAGGTGAGCACCAGCACGTCTACAAGCTCTGAGTAGGCCACGGAAGGCTGCGCTTCCTGGCTGCTAGGTGGGAGAGCGTCGGCTGAAGCAGGCCCGAAATCTTCGGAGTCGGATACCGCGGTGTACAAAACGTCCTCTAGCCCGAAGGAAATAATTTTGCGCCTCCGGGCTTAGGCATAAATAATCATGCGAGAATTCCACCGGCGAATCTGCGTGTGGGCTTGGGCGAGAGAGAAAGGGGCGAGGCCCATCTGCTCGCTCTAGATCGCCTCGAGCTCCACATCCAAACCCCAGGTCGCGGATTCACGGAGGGGCTTGGTGGCTTCCGGAGTGCAATGGGGAAAAACGGATGACTCCTTCTCAAAAACCGCAAGCCTAGTGCGGAGGGTTTTGAGACGGAGGTTTTCACAGAATTTACATTTAGAAGCGCTGTAAACTGTCTTGCGCAAGTGCGAAAAACCCAAACACTTAACACACTTACCATGTGGGTCGTCGCACACAATGAAGCGAGAACACGGCAGCTGGCAGCGACGAAACTCCATGGCAATTCACCGCAAGGAGAACAGAGTTCCACGCTGAAGTGCAAATGAAGAAAGCTCAACGAAAAACAATTCGAATATTGGGCCAGAAAAAAACGCAACAGAAGGGCTAAAATGGCCGCTTCATGAAGACATAGAAATCTGAGGAGCAGATGGCGCATTCGCCAGTATAATGATGCGAGAGCGTCGAGACGGTGCCTGTGCCATCAGCCAATGAATTGGTGTGATACTATACGGGCTTCAGACAATCGGCACACCCAGAGGCCGTTCCCATTGCATCATAGCTACGCAGCGTCGAGTGAACCTATGAAAGAGAACAGAGACCGCAACAAAAATGCCTTACTAAGGAACAATGAACTCCTCCTGAACTACGAAACAGATATACAGTTCCTGTGGTTACATTGTTTATCAATCCTGGAAAACTGGGGTAAGAGCTCTGGGAGCACTGAGCCGTATAACACTGCAATTTACATTCTGCAATTACAGAATAACGTATTCTTAATTTTGTGCTGAAAACGCAGAAATATGAAAAGTGTGAAAATGACCTGAAATGATTTTGACAGTGATTTTGTGTGTGAATCAATATTACATTTTTATATATGAATTCTCTCAGGGAAAAATCAGCAAATCAGTAATATTTATTTATCTTTTTAAATGCCCAATTTCTTTTAATTTGAGTGCAATATGATTTCTGCCAGTAGAGACATGTTTGAGCAATCAATATAACAGAGAGAAAAGGCTAGAAGATTGCTACTGTATAAACATTGGGGCTAAAATTACATTCAATTTTGAATGTACAGTATTTGTTACTAGGACACTTAAGCTAAACTTAAAACTGTATGAATTTCATTGCATTAGATACCAAGTGGTGTCTGGATCTGAACTTTAATTATTTTTATAATTACTTAATTACTGTTCACAATATTATTAAGTTTTCCCCAGGTTCACACTGGTGTAATTGCATAAAGGCTTTGACTATCTCTGGTGTAGTCTATCATATTAATATGGGCAGTTTAACAGCCAGAAAGTGTCCAAATATCAAACTTATTTTTGTCAAATGTCTAGCTAAAAAATTTACTTTATTTCTTTTAAACAAATGCCACTTCATTTGACTTTTTATGTAATGGTATTTATACAAAATGTGTGGCATAAGAGTGCAAACGCATTTGTCTGACCAGTGGAAGATGGGGGAGTGTCATGTCTCTTTATTCAGGTTGTACAAGGAAAACATGATGCCTGACATAAAGGGCCTTGCTTCAAAGTATGGCATAATGTTCGTAGATTAATGGAATCATGTAACATCTTACTATTCATATTGTTGTTCAGTATTTTCTTATGATGTTATTTGGTTTTCGGAGGTCATAAGGGAGCGTTTGCATTGCATGAATTTGCTCTGTCTGTGTGCTGTATCCCAGGTGATGCTGAACAGTCCCAAGCGCATTGAGGAAGAAAAGGTAAAGATGGCTCAGAAAGAGAAAGAAAGAGAAAAAGAGAACAAGACACCAGCTAAAACTAACAGTGCCAATGGCACTGGTGGGACACCTATGCATGTCAGCACACTACAGGTCAGTGTGTGTATGCACGTGTATTCCTTTAAGATGATTGTGTGCATTCATGTATTTGCACTGTCTTTATGAAGAAAAAATGTGTGTATTCATCATATGTACTTGTGAGTGACTGTTCTCTCTATGTAGGATGTGTGTGTGTGTGTGTGTATGCTTTTTATGTAAGATAAATGTGTGTGTATTAATGGGTACATGGGGAGATGAAATGGCTGTAATTGAGTCTACTGCTCTGAGCGCGCTCAGTGGAACATGGGTGCAGAGAAGAGCAGAGGATTCTGGGGGACTGAGAGTAATTTGACCCGACAGCACCGAGGCCTGAAGCTATGACAGAGCAGCACGGGGGTTCACAAGTGTGTGTGCACTTCCATGTGTGTATGTTTGAGGGGGAGAGGTCATATTACAAACAATATTTAAGAGAAATGTCTTGTGAGAATGACTACAATGACTTCCATGGCGATTGACGTTCATGAGAAACTGGTCATCTTTGGAATAAAATATAGGGCTCCAATCATACATTTATCATTTATCAGTTAACTGACCGAACTGACAAAACAATTCTTGTTGAGACAGGTTTTAACTTATTCTTTACTTTGTTAGATTAGCACAGTAACACAAAGATAGATAGATAGATAGACGGACGGATGGACGGACGGACGGACGGACAGACAGACAGACAGATGGAGACGGATGGATGGATGAGATGAACAGATGGACGGACGGACGGATAGATAGATAGAGACGGATGGATGGATGCATGAAGAGACGGACGGATAGATAGATAGATAGATAGATAGATTGATTTTCTTGTATGTATTTGATTGTTTTATGTGTGGTTTATGTTTGTGTAGGTTGTGGAAAACCGCTGTAAGAAGGTGTGTACTTCAAAATCTGATCTGCGCTCAAATGATTTCAGTATTGTCGGTTCTCTACCACGAGATTTCGAACTCTCAAACTTCGACTGTTACGGCAAGCCTATTGAGGTCACAGATGCTGCCGGCAAATCACAGAACAAGAACAAAAAGAAGCCGTCACCTCCGAAACCCATCATCCCGTCTGCTGCTAAACAGATTGATCTCTATGCTCGAGCTCTGTTCCCTTTCACCTTTCTTTTCTTCAATGTTATTTACTGGTCCGTCTACCTGTGACCATGACAGAGTATAAGTGTGTGTGTGCTTTTATGTTGATGAGGGTGATAATCAAGCATGAACAAAGTGTCGAAATGGTCATCATTTTCATTCGTTCACGTCTGTTATTTTGGTCTGCCAGTTAAATAGTCCTGCTTATTTGTATTTCTCCTTATAAGTCGCTTTTTTGAAATGTGTAGCTTTAAAGGTGCAATAGGTGATTGTCTTCAGAAACATTTTTTG